TGGGTGGCTGCAGCCAATCTATTCTCCATGTCAACCGACACTCCACTCTCCTGACATTTGGCTCACGGCTGTCGTCTACATGCACTAACTACATGAAGCCAAGCACACTAATCACCTCCAACAAACACAAGCACAATAATAATATGTGGATCGTGTGTAGACTGACTACTGTATACCTGATATTGGTGGTAAATGTATCAGCTGGAATGGGTGAGGATGTTTGATTTTACATCGCTTTAAAAAGATTTTCAGTAACACAAGATGTCAGCTTCATGTTTGAGGAAAGCCAGAGGTGAGCCAATTTAGCCCAGTGTCCGAACCCTAAATCAGTGATAGAAACTAACCTTTTTAGTCCACTAGTCTTTATAACGATAACATGTAGCAAAACCCTTAAAAAAGACAAATTTGTACCAGTCCTTACGATACCTTAATTATTGGGCATTTTGGCAAGGACTACAGAACTAGTTCCAGTTTCTAACGCTGGGAAAGCCCAGTGTGATGCAGGTCTTGCCACTCTTGTGAAAGCCAGGATGACAGGAAGGTGCTCACCTCCACTAAGAACAGGCATAATCAATGTTGTAGGGATGAAATTATTCAGATAAAAATACATTTCAGAATCAGAATATTTGTAATTTTATTTGACACAGCACTTCTTGTTTGAATAGCAAGATTAAATAAATCTGTTTGTTGTAATTATTAGCAAACATTTTTTAGATGTGGCTATAGATTACACTATGAATAAAATTATCATCCAAAGCTGAGTCAACAAGTACATGTTATCATGAGAGTGTATTTGGGCATGGTAAATACCATGTATTTGGAATGCACATTGTATTCAGTGTTAATTCCAAAACTAGGATAGTTACCAACCCAAAAGCCCAAAACACACAAGCATGATAACCTCTTTAACATATAATGTCATTCTTAAAATCTATCGTCGAAAGTATTCTCATCTCTTACAAACAACATCTAAACATAGCACGACTTTCGGGAATGTGTGCATTATTATACAAGGTCAGTGAATAGTCAGTTGGAGAGTGACAACGGTCAATATAGTTCCAACTGAAACTTGTTTTTTAGACATTGGCATAGCCACCATATTGGCCAAGAAATGTACATATACTCCAACACAAATTTGACAATGTCAGTGATCACTTTTCATGACAGTGCATTAGTCCATCAGTCCACCTACAAGAGTAATCGCCCTTTGTCAAAGGGAAGCTACTCTAGTCTTCGAGTGAGTGAGTTTGGTAAAACAACACTTTTAACAGTATTCTAGTTATATCGTGGCATGTCAGCTTAATGTGGGAGGAAAGCCTGAAGTGATGCAGGTCTCAGATGTTTACCACTTCGATGAAAACTACGAGCATCTAGTCTATGAAACTTCTCATATATACTTAGAGCCTGTCTGGCTTGTCGTAACATTGCGAAATGCTGTCAGATACACAATGACAAAATATTCTGGCTATCCATATGTTGTTAAGGTTGTGGAAACCCCCCCAAGCCGCAGAGGTATAAAAGCACATATATGGGAACTGATTGTGCTAGTGTCCTCACTAACATTACTTCGCAATTTATATCTCCACAATTGCCAAAGTTTGTTAAATGGCTCAGCTTCACCCATGTGAGACACTGACTGTCAGTGCCAGGTGTCAGGCTGTTCTTTTGATAATCAGGATAATGACCAGTCATTCCAGTAATCTGTCCAGAACCCTCATCACCATTTGTGACCCGATCGGCAATAGTGAGTGAGTGAGTACAGTTTAACGCCGCTTTTAGCAATATTCCAGCAATATCACGGCGGGGGACACCAGAAATGGGCTTCACACATAGTACCCATGTCGGGAATCGAACCCGGGTCTTCGGCGTGACGAGTGAACAACGCTTTAACCACTAGGCTACCCCACCACCCCCGATCAGCAATAAACAAGCTCAATGTCCGGGGGTTTCTTTACATAACACTTAATAATACTATAAGAATAATGATGATTATACTTGCATTGTAACGGGGGGAGAAAGTGATGTAACAAGATATTCTTAGTGGTATGTTTATAGAATTATCTCCCTTAGTAGAGAAAACGATTTGTTGTGATGAACGCACGTGGTGGAGAATTGGGAAAACTGCGATGTTTCCATGTAAATGAAGAGGAACCATGGTGTTCACGGAGACTATGATATGTGTTTGAGTAACTATATATGTTGTGTGATGTGCAATGGCACCCGTATTTGACATGCATCAGAATAAACCCTTGAACTTTGAATTTTGAGTTTACTGCAAGTTGCACGTGCGAATGTGTCCCAAGCGTGGTACCGTAGTCTGTCTTACAGACCCTGATACATTTATATCAACTACAGCCCATGCAAGTCTATAATGTTTGGCAGGTCTAGATTACTGCAGTACCAAATGAAGAGAATCACTGGGCTCCCTTTTTATTAGATTTTTATTAAGATAACTGAACAACTGTTTTTTCTGTATGATATGTTCATTTCAGAGACTATATGTTAGTCTAGTGGTACCGCTATGTGCACAGTTGTCCCCAAATGACCCCAATGGATACTGGTTTTATCAGCTAATATATGATATTTATGATACGGAAACACACCCGGGCAATAATCTCTTCATCATATAATTTTATTCATAAAATAATCCATGATTGAGACGTAATTTTAGTCTATGAAGTATCCTCATGGCCCATGTACGAATACAACATTTGAGTGAACTGCCCCATGTATCACATCGCAAAACCAAAATGATTCTGAGCCCTGTCTGTCCACAGAAACCCTAATATATCGGGAATCCCCTGCATCAACCAAGTCTGTCCACCCCATCCCATTACTCACCTCTTACGACAAGCATAGTCGCCTTTTACGGCAAGCATGGGTTGCTGAATACCTATTCTAACCCAGATCGTCACGGGTCTCTGAAGTATTGAAACACTCCTAAACCATATTAATGTTTCACATTACGGTTATGATAAGTACCTCAAGACATTATATCCTAATTTAGTTTGAACGCTTGTAAATGATAAAAGGGAAAATAATACATTACTTTAACTGGGACGTAATGAATCTACACTGGCAGTTATTTGATAGCAATGAATCACCTGAGTGAGGTGTCTAGAAGCAGAAGTATGCCACCTGGGATAGCTTGATTGTAACCATTATGTAGCCTCAGCTAAAATCAATATCTGGAGGGCGCGCTCATCTCAGGAGATTTCTGCCTTCAATCAGTTGTCAGGAGAGTAGTGTGTACACAGGCAGTTCCTATACGCTATTAATGATGAATGACATTGTGACATACTTGCAGTTGTTAATAGCTAGGTAATTATAGATATATCAGCCTACCTCACAGTGTTGTATGGAGGAGCCAATCAAACAGGGTAAAGATTACACCGCTTTACTCAGCTTTACAGGTGAGTCAGCAGGGGTTACCACACTTTTTTCTATTTTTCTATTTTTTCCATGTTTTACTAACAATAGTTAGGGAAAAGGAAAAACAAATTTGTCTATCTCAGGATTTGTTTTGTTATAAGGAATAGGTCTGTTTGGGTTGGTCAGTCTAGTGGGAAAGAAAGCATTTTCTATTTGTACAGTAGCTGAAAGTGTCATCACAGGATATCTTCCTCTTTATTTGTAGTTGTGTCGGTGTAACTTTCGAAAACCATTAAAAACAGAGCCATCGGACATCAATTCCAGCAATTATCAAGAGAAACATGACGATTAAACATGCTTTTTTCAATCAAATATTTATTTCTTTTACATGCAGACCCGTGAAGATCCTGGGTAGAATAAGTCTTTGGCAACACATGCTTACCGTAAAAGGTGACTATGCTTGTCGTATGAGGCGACTAACAGGGTCGGGTGGTCAGGCTCACTGACTTGAGCATGTCATCCTATCCTAATTGTGTGGATAAATGCTCATGATATCAATCACTGGATTGTCTGGTCAAGACTCGATTATTTACAGACTGACATCATATAGCTGGATCATTGCTGAGAGCGGCGTTAAACAACAAACAAACAATTTTATATGTATTTTTGTTATTTCCATGTCAGTCACCTGTGATAAATGTCAACCATGTTTCCAGTTGCTACCCACTGTCAACAGCCTCTCTGATGATACTTGTGTGGGGAGTCATGACGACATCTACTTGGATTGGGGAGTCACAACAACACTTACTTGAATGGGGAGTCATGACGACATCTACTTGGATTGGGGAGTCATGACAAGACCAACTTGGATGGGGAGTCATGGTGACACCTGCTTGCGTGGGGAGTCATGACGACATCTACTTGGATTGGGGAGTCATGACAACACTTACTTGAATGGGGAGTCAAGACGACCCCTACTTGGATTGGCGAGTCATGACAAGACCAACTTGGATGGGGAGTCATGGTGACACCTGCTTGCGTGGGGAGTCATGACGACATCTACTTGGATTGGGGAGTCATGACAACACTTACTTGAATGGGGAGTCAAGACGACCCCTACTTGGATTGGCGAGTCATGACAAGACCAACTTGGATGGGGAGTCATGGTGACACCTGCTTGCGTGGGGAGTCATGACGACATCTACTTGGATTGGGGAGTCATGACAACACTTACTTGAATGGGGAGTCAAGACGACCCCTACTTGGATTGGCGAGTCATGACAAGACCAACTTGGATGGGGAGTCATGGTGACACCTGCTTGCGTGGGGAGTCATGACGACATCTACTTGGATTGGGGAGTCATGACAACACTTACTTGAATGGGGAGTCAAGACGACCCCTACTTGGATTGGCGAGTCATGACAAGACCAACTTGGATGGGGAGTCATGGTGACACCTACTTGCGTGGGGAGTCATGACAAGACCAACTTGGGTGGGGAGTCATGGTGACACCTACTTGGGTGGGGAGTCATGACAAGACCAAATTGGGTGGGAGTCATGGTGACACCTACTTGAATGGGGAGTCATGGTGACACCTACTTGGACGTGAAGTGATGACAACACTTACTTGGATGAGGAGTCATTTTGAGTCTCGATTTCAGCCAGCTGTTTTGTGACGGTGGAGGCTGAATCACAGTTTTTGGCGATCTTCTGCAGGAGTGCTGTGGTGGTGCTGTGCTTGAACAGCCCAAGGGCCCGCTTCTTGAGGCCATGCAACAAACAGGCCTCCACAGCACCTGCAAACAAAGTACAGTCCTGTAATCAATGGAAATTAATAGATTGTAGGTTTCACACAGCGACAAATGAGCACCAGGAGTCAGTGTATGCAGTGCTCAAAAGGTCAACAGTATTGCAGGGAATGAAATTAGGAGTCACGTGTCAATCTATGTCAAGAATATCACAGCCCCTCCACAGACCTATCAAAGACATATCCCAGTCACATGGCAGTCCTACCACAGTCACATGATAGGCACATGGCATTCCTACCAGTCACATGACTGTCCTACCAATAACATGACAGTCCTACCACAGTCACACGATAGTCCTACCACAGTAACATGACAGTCACATGGCAGTCACATGACAGTCCTACCACAGTCACAAGGCATTCCTACCACAGTCACATGGCAGTCCTACCACAGTAACATGGCATTCCTACCAGTCACATGACTGTCCTACCAATAACATGTCAGTCCTACCACAGTCACATGATAGTCCTACCAATAACATGACAGTCCTACCATAATCACATGGCAGTCCTACCAATAAAATGACAGTCCTACCAGTCACATGGCAGTCCTACCACAGTAACATGGCATTCCTACCAATAAAGTGACAGTCCTACCACAGTCACATGGCATTCACATGGCAGTCCTACCACAGTCACATGGCAGTCCTACCACAGTCACATGGCAGTCCTACCACAGTCACATGGCAGTCCTACCACAGTCACATGACAGACCTACCACAGTAACATGGCATTCACATGGCAGTCCTACCACAGTCACATGACAGTCACATGGCAGTCCTACCACAGTCATATGGCATTCCTACCACAGTCACATGGCATTCACATGGCAGTCCTACCACAGTCACATGACAGTCACATGGCAGTCCTTAGTAACCACATTCACATGGCAGTCCTACCACATTCACATGACAGTCACATGACAGTCCTAACAGTCACATGACACATGGCAGTCCTACCACAGTCACATGGCAGTCACATGGCAGTCACATGACAGTCTTACCATAGTAACATGACAGTCACGTGGCAGTCCTACCAGTCACATGACAGTCGCATGGCAGTCCTACCACATTCACATGACAGTCACATGACAGTCCTAACAGTCACATGACACATGGCAGTCCTACCACAGTCACATGGCAGTCACATGACAGTCTTACCATAGTAACATGACAGTCACGTGGCAGTCCTACCAGTCACATGACAGTCACATGGCAGTCCTACCACATTCACATGACAGTCACATGACAGTCCTAACAGTCACATGACACATGGCAGTCCTACCACAGTCACATGGCAGTCACATGACAGTCTTACCATACTTACATGACAGTCACGTGGCAGTCCTACCAGTCACATGACAGTCCTACCACATTCACATGACAGTCACATGGCAGTCCTACCAGTCACATGACAGTCGCATGGCAGTCCTACCACATTCACATGACAGTCACATGACAGTCACATGACAGTCCTAACAGTCACATGACACATGGCAGTCCTACCACAGCCACATGGCAGTCACATGACAGTCTTACCATAGTAACATGACAGTCACGTGGCAGTCCTACCAGTCACATGACAGTCCTACCACATTCACATGACAGTCACATGGCAGTCCTACCAGTCACATGACGGTCACATGGCAGTCCTACCACATTCACATGACAGTCACATGACAGTCCTAACAGTCACATGACACATGGAAGTCCTACCACAGCCACATGGCAGTCACATGACAGTCTTACCATAGTAACATGACAGTCACGTGGCAGTCCTACCACATTCACATGACAGTCACATGGCAGTCCTACCAGTCACATGACAGTCGCATGACAGTCCTACCATATTCACATGACAGTCACATGACAGTCCTAACAGTCACATGACACATGGCAGTCCTACCACAGTCACATGGCAGTCCTACCACATTCACATGACAGTCACGTGGCAGTCCTACCACATTCACATGACAGTCACATGGCAGTCCTACCAGTCACATGACAGTGGCATGACAGTCCTACCATATTCACATGACAGTCACATGACAGTCCTAACAGTCACATGACACATGACAGTCCTACCACATTCACATGACAGTCACATGACAGTCCTAACAGTCACATGACACATGGCAGTCCTCAGGGACCACAGTCACATGGCAGTCCCCCATTTAATTCCTGTGACCCTGAAGATCATCTCCTCCAATGCCCCCCAGGCACAGACCACGGTATATCCCTGCGTAATTTACGGACTAAGAGGTGCTGAAACACCTCAAGCCGTCTGCTCAATGTCAAAAGATTTTTCTTATTTTCAAAAGTTTGCTACTGGTAGTGTATATAAATTCATATACAGTGTTGGCTGAAGAGCGCGTTTTTGCGTCTTGGACGCACAAAAGTAAGTTTGAACGCACCTGCGTAACATGTGTGGGTCTCGTGGACGCAGTGACTGGGGCTATATTAATTTCATATTGAATTGACACTGTTATCGTAAATCAAAGACGTACGTCTTTGCGTAAAGGTATTTGTTGCCAAACAAGACAGCGAAGCATGTTGATTAACACTTTCGTTTGCTAAACCAAACCAGTTTCATTATTCTCTCCCTTTTTATGACAAATACCCAAACCGGTTTCTTGACCTATATCTATTGTCGGTTTTGCATGTATTAATTTTCGGTATGGTCCGTAGCTTTGCTTCAGCCAATCAGGTGCCACATATTAAGCAAGTCGGATATAGTCGTAATTAATTTAGCTTGCTGATTGGTCGAAAATATCCTGACCTTGTGTCAAACTAAAAATAGCCAGGCACATCAAGGGTATACTTCAGAACGTGGTAACAGTGACCCGCGAAATCGAGCGACCGTGTGGGATGATACACTATGTTATCGCAGTAGTTAATTTATAATGGATCGTAGTGGGGCACGCTTACAAACTTATTAAATATGTGATTCACAAAATGTTTGTTGTTCATTGGATTGATTGATGCTGATTTTCTTTACCGAGTTCGGTAAACAAAGTATGCTACCTGTCATTGGTGAATCTTACCGCAGTAAGTAAGGCTGTGTGGATTATATGGTATATCACTTCCTGTTTTGAATTTTGCATACGACCGAGGTTTGGTCAAGGGACTTCGTTTGAACAAATGGGTTCTTTTTCTAATCAATTTTGAATGGAGGAAGGGGTAATTCCACTTCAAAAACATCCCAGGAACTGTCATAAAAAAAGTTAACGTGTGTACAAGTAGCCGTGACATACCGCAACGAGTCCTGTATTCGATCATGCGATGAAATATATCGCGCTTAGATTTGCATAAGTAAACAGTCGACAGGTTGTGTGGATTACGAGATTTATCAATACCGCGATACTGTATATAAAGAATGAATGTGAACACTTGAATGTACAATGATGTAAGCATTGTTTTTATTTAGCGGACTCTGAATATTTAGTTATTCTACAACAGACTTATCAAGCTGATAATAATTCAATCTCTTGTGAGTTATATTAAGAATTGCAAAACACATTTTGCCAGGACCGTTATTGGTGTAACTGACATGTTTAAACATTTATAGCACCTGAAACATGTTGACTAGATTTATCAAGGAAATGCTGGATCCTGAACATACTCTTACTAAAAAAACCTTCGATATGCCAATTATATTTTATGACTCATTGATCATTGTCACAGTTACAACATGAATTCAATACTCAGTACAGTAGCAGCAGAACAGCCATTGAACTTAACTGAATCCATAACTTCAAATCATTGGTAGATCTCGGTAAAAACATTCACAAATGTCTGTCACAATGACCCCTTACCAATGGCTGACCCGTGTACTGCCTTTTCATATACGAAGTTAGATATTAACATGGATAATTTTGTGTTATAATATTCATTAATATCAAATGTCCCTTTTAAAAAATTGTTTGTCCCTTAATGTAAACCTCTTGGTTATGAGAGCAGGATGTGCCCTGATGTGAACCTTTCTCTCACTTTGCCTGTTTGTTGATATTTTGCAGTTGTGAAAAGATTTCTTATTTTTCACAACCACTGTGATCTGTTGTTAATGTTATGTTATAATGCTATAAATTGGACCCCTCCATTTATGTTTGGGACCCCTAATTTTATGATGAAGGGGTCCAAGTGACCCCAAGAAAATTTAAGCCAGAGCAGACACTGCATATATATAATCCTAATCTGGCAGAGGTGATTGGTTGCGTTTGATTTCCCTGTCGTACTGTGCACAACCAAGTCATTCAGTGAAACATCAGCATTAACACAAGTGTTTTTAAGAAAATGAGGAAACACAACACATTTCTTCCAATTGCTTGCTCACAACTGTTACCATGGTTACTGGCACTCAGGCCAGGAGGTTGAAGGTTATGATTTAACAGGCCAACAACATTACATGATTACATTTCTTATTCCGTAATTAACATCAGTTTGATTCCTTGATTCTTTGCCTGTGCAAATATACATTTCTTTTGCTAAGTAGACATTGAAAACAGTCCAATTCTTGGGTACATGATTTATGATAAGCTACAACAACATCCTAACTAATCAGGTCGCCTGCTGCCAATCATCTATTGTACAATATCCAATACACATACATGTATTAACACTGTTATTTCACCATATCAATTACTACCACTGACAGCTGCCATTAACAAAAATAAGAAACCCTTTCAAGGCTTGCAGTGTTTATACAGTGAGGTGCATAACAACAAAATACCAGCTGACGTAAACACTGTGATAATTGATCATTATCAGATGTGATACAACTAGGCATTTATTTGACTAGCTCCTATTTCAGAAAATATTGACAAAATTGGTTTGGTGTACAGCACGTTCGTCATAGGGGATTGTGGGTAAGCAGATCACATTCTGTATCAACGTCAGTGATGATTATTTTTCCATTCCGAAAACCAATCCGGCCACCTAACCAGTGGAATCCAGCTTTGACCATTTGTAAGAAAAAATCAATGGCAGATTG